ACCTTTCGATGTGTCCTTGTCATTCCTTTCCACGTCTCGAAGGTGTTCTCGGAATCGGTCACCTAGTCTTCTGCCTGTTTCGCCGATGTATATCTTTTTGCAATAAGTGCAAGTTATGCAATAGATTACATTGGCGGAGGTGCCTTTAAAAGCACACACAACCCACAATTCCTCTATTCGCTCCGACGAAGGGCTAACGCTCGAAACGTCAGCTTTTGGAATCGTTATGGTGGCCAATTTACCACTTCAACTTTGTTGATATATCCGAAATCTAACATAGCCGATCATGACCAAAACTGCAAATATATCCTCAAAAGTCTTTAATTTTATCTATTTAAATTGATCATGACCGCGAAAAGTCTGAACACTTCTATAAACGTATTTTACTTAAATGATAAGTAATGACGTTTTCGAGCTATCTTGTAATTTTTGCGACTGAACTTTTCATTACTGCTAATTTGGCGCTTTATTTTATGTTATTTTTGTTTTTGATCCTTCTTTGTTACAAAGTTTTACAAAAGCACACCGCTCATTGATCCCTCTCAAAAAAATCTAAACAATAACAGAAAAATGGCTTGTGTTCCTTAGTCTTAATAGTTTTGTTTTCATTTGAACACCAGTGAACATCAGTAAGCATAGTCCCATACTGTCCTCAATACATTTCTGAGGCGGTAACAAGTAGAATTTACTCAATAACTATAAGCTTCTTTAGTTGTTGATGATTTCCTTTATTCTCCGGAATTGAATGCTTGATTCAGAGATGAAACTGTCAGGAGAAATCTCACCCTTAGGCCTGTTAAAGGGTTAATTAAAATGAATAGCAGTAGCGATAGGTACATCCAGCTGTTGATCTCAAAAGGTAAACAAAGAAGGAAGAACAGTTCTTCACTTTAATGTCGAATAAAGTTTTTTCTTCGCAATTTTTACGCCTTCGAAATTTGACAGTCCTTGTTACTATTGCATCGTCCACCGTCGGATGATCTCCTTTTAACCACCCTGGCCATGACGTGCCGCACCTCGTATCAGTCGGAGGACACTTAGTCGGCATTCGTATTCCTGGAATGTCTAGGAAACGATACCAGCCGGTTTCTAGTTCGCTGTCACATTTCTCGCCTTCTTCAACGTTCTCTATGTCTCGATCTTCATCGTTTAAAACTGTGTGGAGTTGACATGGATCAACTGAACGGGAAAACAAAAGGATACCGTTATAGAAGTTTATGAAGTGAAGGACAATGATCATATATGAGCACACAATAAAACGAGTATCGCACTCTCTAAACATTGGTTGTTTTTGCTTTTCTTCGCACTTTGATTGGTCCCGAAAACTCGCGCCACTTTCTCACTAAATCAGATCACAACTTGGTCACTAATATTTACCCACGCTTCAGGCAGTTTCCTTATTTTTACTTCGATTTATTTTATTGCTCTGGACGTGTGTCTTTGTAACTTAATTGCTAGTAGCACCCAACTAGTTTCAGGAGGGCGCAGATTATGATCCCGTCGAAACCTGATTTTTTTCTGGCTTCTTTCCACACAATATCTTCAAATGTAATTTACCTATGAAGGACAATACACTCTTTGTTTATTTAACCGTTGCGCTGAAAAGAACTATACGACTTTCAGTCCCGTTTTAAGCTCGATGTTGAAGCAATCAGATAAAAAACGAATAAATACCCCCACCGACGCAGCGCCAAACAGTTTCTTTAATTTAGAAACTATCAGCCAAAAAACAAATAATGAAGAAATAAATATATAAATGATTAGGTAGATAGATGAAGAGTAAATGAGGATGAAGATAAGGATAATTTATTTAATGTAAAAAAAATTCACAGAGGGTGGTCGCCCAATCCCCCGAGCCAGAGGCTCATGTAACTGATTGTTTGACAATATAAAAGAAAACTAAAATTGTAATAGCACCGATTAAATTAGAAATAATGTATATCTACATCTACATACCTATGATGGAGCTTGATACAAAACTCCGAATTTTCTCGAGAGTTATAGAGTCAAACGGTATTTTTAGAACACAAATGAGATTTTTAGGCCATTGTTTTGAAAAAATATGTATAGCCGAAAGCTAGCATAAAAATAAGTTTACTTGTTTCGCAGAAGCTTCTTCCTTGCTTCCAAGCGGGCTCCTTCAAAACAAAAACGGCCTGCTAGCGGTTGTTGTCATTATTTTGTTTGAAAGATCGAGAAGTATTAGGAGACGGAACCATTTCGATTGTCTGGTAACTAAAAGATCATAATGAGTCAATTTGAAGAAGCTTCAACGCAATTTCACCACAGGAATCTCGCATTTTATGCAAATTGTGCAATAGTATAGAAAAAAAATCGAAATAACTCGTGATTTTTTTAAAAACTTTTGAGATTTTTAGAGATTAAAAATGAGATTTATACACACTTCTTTGGAGAATTTTGGAATGGATTATTTCAGCCATTTTTTGGGATTTGTGTATCTAGCTACGTATCTAGGCCAGCTATGAGAACCCAGAGGTCTCAAACCTCGTTCCCAGGGGCTCTCATCTTCCCACCCCCTGGGGCGAGAGGGGAGCGGGAATATGAGAGACCCTGGGAACGAGGTTGAGAGGTCTCCATGACTGTCGATCGTACCTGTACAATTTCGTCCATTTCGGATATAACCAGGTTTGCAGGAGCAGTGATACGATCCCATTGTGTTATTGCAGTAGGCATTTGCATTGCAATTGTGAGAATTTGTTTTGCATTCGTTGATATCTCAAAAAGCGATCGAAAGAAACGTTAAATTTAAGAAATGGTGAGAAAGAGGACAATGGGAGAGAATAAGTAATCTTTTTCATAGAATTCACTTTATTTTTCTTTCCACCAACTATACGTACTACCTCAGCAAATCCCAAACACATTTCTCGCTGCTCGTGTCTGTAACAAGAATATTTCCTTGGGTTTCTTCATTTGGACCTTTCGGATGAATCAAGCGTACTTAACAACCTTTGCTAATCATAAGACACTTTATTTTAACTCCATAAGAAGACGTTGAGATAAAACATACAGGCTGAATTACACCCCGCTCCCCACCTCTTCTTGTAAAAAGACGATGGAATAAAGTGTAAACGTCATACTAAAGAAGACATCAAGACATCGATCATTGTAATTTAAAACAATCAAACGCTCTGTTAATTAATCGACCCATGGTTAGAAGTGTTGTACCAGCATGAATATTAGAGCAATATTTTTGCGGTAAGCTGAGTTTTTTTTTTTTTTTTTAATTGATCTGTTCATTTTTCCATTTTTGAAAAATTAACACGTGACGACGAAGCCCGAAAAGAAACCAAGAGGCCTAGGCGAGCTAAAGGCTCCTCGTGTTTGTGTGAGGTATCAGTTATTTGGAGTGATTTAAGTACAATATATTATTGATCTAATAATATAAATAAAAAATTACTCAGTTCTGATTGGTTAAGGTAAATGCAGTTTTCAGGTAAATCAGTGCAGAAGAGAGTTAATTCAGTGCAGAAGAGGGTTAATTCAGTGCAGAGAA